GCTGGCTACGCCCGTAGCTACGTGTTAATAATTTGAGCTGCCCTTCTTTTCTTCTCTGTTTTTTGCTCTCTGAATCAAGAGCGATGTGATATTTCATGTGCGTTTCTTACGAGTCGCTATCGTCTTATCGTTCTCCGTTTGCGTTGCTAAGCAGCCATGTCATGGTGCGTACGCGCCTTCTTTTCCTCAATTGCAATGACCGCTGCACGGAGATTCACTGTGTCACTCCTCTCGATCCGGCTCGAAGGACCATTTGTTCGAGCTTGAACTTTATTGTACGAAATTGGCTTATACTCGTCGTACATTGCACGAAGATAACAATAGTTAGTGAAAGTGGACGCTATCAGCTAGTGGCGTCACGGTACCGGAAAGCCGCTGACAGCGCCTTTCGATAGTTGGTAAGGTAGCTGCCATGATAAAAATACAAGGGTATGCTCATCAATTGTCTAAAACTCGTTCAGCTTGCGCATGTCCTTGCCTACGTCATATTCGGGTACGCGTTGAATGGTCGGTTCTGATTCGGGTGCAATCGGTGGTTATCGGTCGTAATTTATCATGGCGTCCATGGCGTAGTGCACGTTGTCATCGGTAGAAGTTAATGTTAAAAATATTTTCACGATGACCTGCATAGTGAAAGGATGCGGCAATTATATGAAAAAAACAAAAAAAACTGAGGGAAGTAAAATTAAATATTTTATCTTTCCAAAACAATCTGAAATTGCTGAACAGTGGCGTAAGCCACTCGTTGTGACGTAAGCAAGGACAAAAATCTGATTGGTCATGCGCATGAGCATACCCTTGTCTTTTTATCATGGTAGCTGCGAGCGTTACCTCTAACACTCTCTCACGTACGAAATTGATAAAATTAAACTTATATGACGCGTTCTTGCACAAAAAATAACCGAATCTGGCAATAACAATCCAAGAGTTAAATTCAATAATTACCGAATCCAATTTAAACATTAATGTAATTATTAAAAATGTATTTTAAGATTCATTTCCAATACTGAAAATCCGTAGTATATGGAAAACCGGAGTACCATGGATCGGAGCACCATGGATCGGAGTGTATCATGGGTCATCGACTGTTTAACATAATCTGGAACGTTTAAATTAATACTACTGATACAATACGACTATTACTTCGTTGCCTATACTTTATAGCAGTGATAGATGGCAGTGAATAAATTCCATTGTATCGAAAAGCATCGATTATTAATGGTTTTCGTAATCCACGCACACACACACGCACGCACGCACGCACGCGCGCGCACACACACACACACGAACACAATAATAACTTTTTAACTTCATAAAAATGTTTTAATATTGTTTTTATAGGAGAAGATACATGTATGGAAATAAGATGCAAGTTTGTGCGCATTTTTCTCATCTTACTACCATTAATAATCTAACATTTATTTTTTATAGTTTTCTATTAAATGTATAATTAAATGTATAAATGGGTTACCATATGTCATACATTAAATATTCATAATGAAACGAGACAATACAGAAAGTATATGTACTAAAAGGGCAGTTTATACTTTTAAGCAATTAATTTTATTTTATCGTAATAAATTTTTTATCTTATATTAATGATTATTTCTCATCTCTGTTTTCTTGTAATTTTCTATTGTATTATTTAATAATTATTAGTTGTAATTATATTTTATTGCATTAGTAAGTATGCTGAGAATGTTTTCTAAAAAATATGTTTTTATTTTTTTCTTAAAAATTAATAAATATTTACTAAATATACTTATTAACCCTTGAATACCACCGTGGGTTACGGTAACCCAGTCCGTTTTAAAAAACGCGTGACGTTTATGAACAGAAGTGTGGAGTGGAAACAAGGGGGGGAAAAAACTTTCGCATCACTACAAATTCCCCGGCTGACAACCTCAGCGTGCACGAACCGGTCGAGATAGAACGCTATGAACTTACTGTGTGGGTTACGCTCACCCTGTATGGTTATGACGTTTTTTATTTCGAAATCAAATTGTAAGTAAATATACGAACAAGATTGCGAATTCAAATCGAAGAATTCATGAAACACACAGACATTCCAGAAAATCAAGATCCGCGCGATA